AAGTCAAACAAAAAATAATAATTTTCAAAATGTTTAAAATATTTTTTTCTTTTCTTCAATCCTTATCAAAGTTTCATTGTAAATTCCTTCTGTCAATTCCATTGTCATGTCAGAATGTTCTAGACGTATTGAAAGTTCAGCTGGCTGCCTGTAGAGGGCGCAGCAGTAGGGGCACGGGGAAACAACGAAAAAACTGATATATTCGCAAATGCAGATAAGCTATCAACATCAAAAGTAGACAATAACCGAGCTGGAACCTCAACGCATGCTGTGTCAAAATTTGGGCTTAAACGGTTCAGAACTTTTCAAGTCTATAAAGGAAGTAGACACGAACAGAGCATTTTTATATATATAGATGTATTACATATTTACTTACCTATAAACACGATTTTATGCTTTTCTTACTTGCCGATTTGGTTCAATTATCCATATTTTATAATACGTTAGTAGGTGCAGCAGTGAACCTTTTTTTGTAGTTTTTTTGGTTGTGGATTTTATTCTGCTTTATCTTCTATATTTCTCCTGCGACCCCCCTCTTACGGGTAAAGGAATATCTGAAATGTATTAGAGGGAATTGAGTAAATTAAAAAAATTGTAAAGAAATCAAAAAGGACCAAAAATCTGAAAAAGAAGAAACAATTTAAACAATTTATAAGTTGAAGAGTCAAAATATGAATATGGAGTAGCGATTTTAATGTGAGGGAACTGTGTGTGTGTGACTCAGTCAAGAGGCAGTTTCGATAAAAAATTTCATGCGAGCAACTGCATGGTAGGGAAGGGATGAGCATGTGGCCTCCAGTTCATCAGGAGAAGCCAGGACAACTATGTGTGTGTGAGGAACTGTAGATAGAGTTATCTTTGTTTCCGCGAGTTTGTAATAAGCCGCGCGGTGTATAGGGTTGTTTAATGTCGAGTATCGATAAAATTTATTACTGTGTGTGGCGTGCAGGGTTAGAGGATTCATGGCCCGAAGAAAGAGCTAGCCGGTGCCAGCCCAAATGCCTTGCAGGTCCTTTAAAAGGGACATAACTCAGTCCGATTTCAATAAATTTAAAACCAAAATTCTATAAAAATACAAAATGACTATATCTCAAATTAAATGAATGAATTAGATGTTTCGACTTATACACGAGTGACAGTAAATACATACATATGTACTCTCACTCGTGTATAAGTACATATGTACCCTTCAGTACCAAAATTCCTTTCCTGTCCGATTCCTGGTGTCATGTTCAAAAAACAAATCCCATGGGTTTCGGTAAGAGAACTCCGAAACAAAGTAGGCAATGAAAATTCTACCTGTGTTCGGATACTGCCCAACAATTAATTGTTGTTTTTGACGGGATTCGGAGCAGTGGTTCGGAAATTAGATTGAGATGATGAAAAATATTATTGAACGAAATAAAAAGAATCGATAGTCTCGTTAGTGAAATCAATTTTTTACAGCTCTAATGACAGCTGAAGTATTCACAAGTTTTTTGCAATGTAATTTATTAAGTATTGTTAAAGGGTAAGTGACTTATTTGTATTCAGTTAATAAATTCATTTCCAGAATTGCTTTTGAATCTGGACACTTTTTTAACCTAGACGGTGTGAACGGAAGGAGATTGTATAGCCAGTATTTGTTTTCTTCTTAATTGGTGTGTATATTTGTGAAAAATATTTTCCATTTGATTCTAATATCCATATGTATATACATATGAATTTTAATTATAGATTGACGAGGCAACAGCCAGAAGGAAAGACACGTAACATACTTTTAGGGGAAATGCAAGAAGTTATGCTAAGAAAAATTGTGGTAATCATTGAACAAATTATAAAGTTTTTAAATGAATAAATAAATAAAAAAAATATATTAAAAATTGCATCCGATATTTACTATGGGGCGGGGGTTCCGGGGATCTTCTACACGTTTTCCTCTGGGATTCCTTTCTGATTCTACTCTAAATTCCGCAAAGATTCTTTGGGGATTCCGCCTGATACTCCTTTGAGAGTCTTACCTGATTCTACTCTGAATCTACGATTACTACCTGATTCCGTTCCAAATTCCTGGATGATTCTGTTCAGAATCCCTTCCGAAATTCCCTTCTGATTCAGGGTGGAATTTGTGCCGAAATTCACGACAAATTCCTGGCAAGATTCCTTTATGATTCCCTGAAAATTCACCGGGTAGTCCGAATTCAGATTTGCTAACGCCTACTGTATGCAAATTCCTGAATGGCTTGTATGAAAGCTCCCTAATGATTCAGGATGGAGTCCAGTCCATTCCAACCTGATTCAGACCTGAATCCTAAAGGATTGGTACTGAAGGGAAATATCTGACGAAATTTATAATACATTTTTTATTTATTTATTCATTTAAAAAACTTTATAATTTGTTCAATGATTACCACAATTTTTCTTAGCATAACTTCTTGCGTTTCCCCTAAAAGTATGTTACGTGTCTTTCCTTCCGGCTGTTGCCTCGTCAATCTATAATTAAAATTCATATGTATATACTTATGGATATTAGAATCAAATGGACAATATTTTTCACAATTATACACACCAATTAAGAAGAAAACAAATACTGTATATAAAATCTCCTTCCGTTCACACCGTCTAGGTTAAAAAAGTATCCAGGTTCAAAATCAATTCTGGAAATGAATTTATTAACCGAATACAAATAAGTCACTTACCCTTTAAAAATATTTAATAAATTACATTGAAAAAACTTGTGAATACTTCAGCTGTCATTAGAGCTGTGAAAAAATTGATTTCACTAACGAGACTATCGATTCTTTTTATTTCGTTCAATAATATTTTTCATCATGTCAATCTAATTTCCGAACCACTGCTCCGAATCCCGTCAAAAACAACAATTAATTGTTGGGCAGTATCCGAACACAGGTAGAATCTTCATTGCTTACTTTGTTTCGGAGTTTTCTTACCGAAACCCATGAGATTTGTTTTTGTTTTTTGAACATGACACCAGGAATCGGACAGGAAAGGAATTTTGGTACTGAAGGGTCCCTAAAAATTCCTCAGGTAGTCCGAATTCAGGTTTGCTAACGCCTGCTGTATGCAAATTCCTGGATGGCTTGTATGAAAGCTCCCTAATGATTCAGGATGGAGTCCAGTCCATTCCAACCTGATTCAGACCTGAATCCTAAAGGATTGGTACTGAAGGGTATGTACTCTCACTCGTGTATTAGTCGAAACATCTAATTCATTCATTTAATTTGAGATATAGGCTAAGTGCTTAGTTTAGATACATTCAAAACTGAGGAACTGGCTTGCTTATAATCACTAAGCAAGAAATATCCGGTTTTTTTCTGAAAATATATTTCCCAAATGGCATTTTTGACCGACCAGAAATTATTTTTGATTTCCATATTGTATTAAAACATTTTTATTTGTTTCAGTACATTTGCAAATTTATAAAATTATAATAATTAAAAAGCTAATTGTATAATTAATTAATTAATTGTAAACTAGAAAATAAAAGATTAATGGTAAATTTATGACTTTATTTTTTAACTATGAACAGAACGTATTCACATACATACTTATGTATGTACCCTGCAGTACCAGTCATCAGTAATTCATCAACGTTTCATCAACAGTCAAGGGGGTGCTGTTGATGATTCATCGATGACAGGCCATACAAACTGTTAATGAATTTAACAAGGGCATGTCCTAGGCTGCCATCAATAAAAATGCATCAACAATTAATCGAGGATTCATCAACAATTCATTAACAAATTCATCAACAATTATATTGTCAGAAAAAACCCGTATATTAAAATAAGTAGTAATTATAGTTAGATAATTTGAATAATTTGTCTCCCAATGCAAGCGCTAGCGGCTAAGTATTGCTGTGACGTCATAAGCAGTATTTCTTGCTTAGTGGGACTTTGCTTGTCAGTTGGATTTACAAACAGATCTCTTTAAGAAATTGTTCAGGGATATTACGCATTACAATAAAATATTACATTCTTTTACCTCTTTAAGGATTATAGATGACCCTTATATATATCTGCTGTGCTATCACACATCGGAATCAGTAGTAGAGGTCGCTTTACATTGATGAGAGTTTATCCAAAAAAGGACATCTTTAGGATCAAACGCGACAGAACGTTCGCATCGTCATCTAATTCATCCTCCGCTAGGCACCATCGAGGTGTCCATTAAATAGTTATTCATTAATTTAGATTTATCGATATCCAGATCAAGATCCGGTTGGACTAGTTTACCGCCTGTCTACGTTATGAACTCCGAACTGAAATGCGCTAAAGCCAAATTTAACCTAGGGCTCTTTACTGAGAAAAATAATAATAGACTGGGTTATAGGCTTTCTAATTGCTCGATGCGAGATTTTGCGATGCCCCAATCATCGTGGCAAAGTTGATCATCTGCAGAAAGTTTTCTGGAGCTATTATGGTCGAAAGAATTTTGTACATTTTTCCATTCCACCAAATACACATCGCAGGATCGCTGCTCTTAACATACCGATTAACTATTATTTGTCGCTGGCTATCCCTTTACAACCAACCAACAACCTTGACAGATTGCTGTGTTCGAGGGTGCCGATCATCGTCCCCTTATTGGCAATCTCCGCTAAGGACTTCTTGGTCTGCTTCGACAATTGGGTTGGTGCCTTTATGGACTGTGAGGCTTGCATTAACCTTTGACGATTCTGACGTCCTGACCCAAGCGTAAGAGGCGCTGAGGAAGGTCGTCATCCCTAGTCATCTGAAAGAGGGCTGAGAGATTCCGACCTCCCTTGGTTACAACTTCGGGGTAATAAGGCCCTTGACCACAGTACCCCATGCGTTTTTGTAATTAGCTGACATTTCGATATATTTGTAGGCACCTCTGAAGTACACGACACTTGTATTTTTGGGGTAGATTAGTCTTATATCTGAACATTTTTTTTGTATGTAGCTATATATACTAAAATGATAATGATAATACATAATCAGACTTTTTTTAACCATAATTATCCTATACTTGTTTAGATGAGACCAGGAAGCAAAAGAAAAACATTAGAAATGTGTGGATTGGCCGTTTTTTTCTCGATTTCATTTTCTGTACTGTACTGCGATGGCCATGGGCGACTTATTGAACCACCAAGTAGAGCGTCGGCTTGGCGTTATGGATTTCAGACACCACCAGACTATAATGATCATGAATTATATTGTGGCGGGTTTACGCGGCAGTGGAAAAAAAATAAGGGTAAATGCGGAGAGTGCGGTGACCCATGGGATATTCCGGAGCCACGTCCCCATGAAAGCGGCGGCCAATGGGGGCAAGGCTTAATCGTGAAAAGTTATTTTCCTGGATCCGAGATGACGATACGTATCGAATTAACGGCTAGTCATATGGGGTATAATAAATTACCTGTATGCTGTTTAGAAAACTCACAGCTTATTGTTTTACAGATATTTTGAGTTTCGATTATGTCCAAAGCCAAATGCTAAACAGTCTTGTCTGGATCAAAATGTTTTGCCAATAATGAGCGCTTTTCCTTCCCAGCCAAGTCCAACAGATTTGCGAAGTCGGTTTTATCCTCGAAATGGAAGCCGGATTTATGAAATTAAAGCACGTTTACCAGGTAAAATGCCTCATAAAACATTTTACAAATTTAATAAATTTTCATTTCAGACTTAACATGTGACCATTGCGTGTTGCAATGGCGTTACATTGCTGGTAATAACTGGGGAATTTGCGACGATGGCAACGGTGCCGTTGGTTGTGGCCCACAGGAAGAATTTCGTTCGTGTTCGGATATCGCCTTAAGCTTGGATTTGCCTGTTCATACAAGTCGACCGTTAAACACTAAGTCTCCAAAATCGACAAAAATTTTAACAACCGAATATATTACAGATAATATCCATAGTGAATCTTTAAAATATTGCCTTTTAATAACTATAGTTTTAATAATAATTGCTTCCGTTTTGGGAATTTGGTACAGATTTAATGAATTGAAACAATTATTTAACAAAAACTCAATTTTAAACGAAAGAAAAGCATTTTCTTTAAGAATTTTTTTCCACAAAACCATTTTTTCTAAATTTAAATGTGATTTATCTCAAACTGACAATGATCTCAGCAGTGATAAAGTCCATGACCCTCCAATTGCACCTCCTAGAACTAAAAAGTTAGGAAACATAATAAAAGTTCAAATTGATGAATCGACGGCTTCGTAAAAAATACATGATTGGATTGATAAAGTCAATGATTATCATAATTAATTCATTTCATTTCAATGTTTGTTTTTACAAAATTTAAGCCTGTATTAATTATTATATTATTTATTAATTATCATAATATTTAAAATTTAATAAAAGAAAAATTCAACATTTCTAATATTTATGCCTTCTTATGGGATAAGACTAAGTTGCACAGATAGGTGCGGGCGTAACTTTGCTAAACCTATTAATCTAAAACTTTTGTACAGTTTTTTTGTAAAATCAGTTTTCTATCAATATATAAAATAGATAATTATTGGTATAAACTCCAATTTTGTGAAAAAAAAGTTTTTAATTTCACAGTCTATCAATGGGTAACATTCATGACAATTTAAGAATGATTTAATCTTTATTTCCCTTCAAGCGAAATATCGAAATATTTTGATGATGCACTTTTTCATAACTTTTCCATAAACTTCTAACTTCTAACTGTAACTTCTTTACATCTTCGACTAAACTTGTCGTATGATGTACACGCTTTTTTAATCACATTTTTGCTCTCAATGCTCATAATCAATTCGGGTATCGAAATTTAACCAATAAATAAAGTAAAAGAGTAACACCAGCGGATTCGTTTATAAACAGAGGGTAAATAAGCTTTTTGGTTCAGTGTATTCTTGAATGGTTTTCACCTTTTCAGGTGCTGTTTTGACTCCATTTGATGTTACAATGAAACCTAAGAATTTAACACTTTCTTTGAAGAATTTACTTTTTTCCGGTTTCACTCTCATGTTGGCTTGGCATAGGCATTTAAGAACTGTGTCAATGTGCCTTATGTGGTCGGCCGCGTTCGCAGAGAAGATAATTATATCGTCAACATAGACGTAACAAATTTTCCCAATTTGTTCGCTCAGCACATCGTCAATTGCCCTTTGGAAGATGCTTCCTGTATTTTTCAGTCCAAAGGGTAGACGGCAAAATTCATACTTTCCTCCATTTACGGAGAACGACGTCTTTTCGCGGTCATTTTCGGCCAGATAAATCTGGTGGTACTATGACTTCAGATCTAGGGTAGTGAAAAATTTTACCTTTTCTAAGGTCGCTAAAATCATAGGAATGGTGGGCACAGGGTAACGATCTGAAATGGTCCGCTCATTTATTTTCCTGAAATCGATCACTAGGCGTTTTTTTCTATTGCCGTCTACAACAACAACAGCACATGTTGGGTTGGTATTTTAGCTGCTGGCCTGCGTTAGCAGGTCGAAACCTATGATGGCATGGAATCGAGTAAAGGAGCCTTTAGGCCGAATATGTGCATAAAACATTTTTCTTTTACTCTACTGGAGTCATGAATGGAACTCACAGTAAATGGGCAGTCGACCGGCTTTATGTTTTTTAGCTCCTTAACGGGCTTTACATAATTCCTTGCCGCTACCGTATCTTTAAGGATTTTTAATGTCCTCCCTGCCAGCCTTCGTTCAATGAAGGACAAGCGGGACCTTCCTCTAAAAAATTAATTAGGGACAGAGGCGTTAAAGCTGTCATTGTCGTGTTCGATTGCACTGAGCGCAGCCGCAGACGCGTCTTCATAATCCGAATCTTCATCCGCATTGGTAGTTTGGTTTATTATAAATGAGCTAGCGCCTTTGGCCGGTCATTCTCTCTGAAGAGTTTGGCCTTTTGGGTGTGTTAAATGTGCCTAAAACTCGTGGATTGCCTGAACTTAAAGGACTTAGAGGATGGATCTACGTCCATTGGCAACGAAGTTTTTACCTTGTCTTTAGGGCGCATAGTGTTGACCCTTGCGGAAATTAGATGTTAATTCCTCTGCTTGACCGCTTTGGCATATGTGGCTGTGAACATACTTCGTCAATCAAACAATTTTGTCTCTGCCTCCCTAGCTAGTGCCAGTGCTGCTGACAGGTCTTTGTGCTGTGCTGGAACCCAACAGCCTTCAGGGGTTTTTTTAAACGTAAATGTATACGTGAAGAGAGTTAGCTCTAGCCTCTCCATTAAGCATTGAGGTTGACGATCTTGTTGGTAACGAGGGTCAATTTGCGTTCGACCTCATCGTAATACTTCACTAGACTTTGGTCCCCTTGAAAGACCGACCCAAGTCCCGCCGTAACAGGCGCAAGAATATTTTGTCTGCATTGGAGCGTCCAATCTAGCCAGAATGGCGTCAAAGTTAAGCACGGTATTGTGAGTAACTATTAGCGTTTGCGCTGGTCCCTTAATTTTGTTTCTTATAATAGTAACCGCTCGGAATTGCGCATTCTTCCTGTATACCCGTAAAATCTGGAATTGATTTTACCGCGTCCGGGTCTACCCAAAGCCTCTTAGAAGTTTCAATTTCTGACGCCTCTACGCCCAAATTTTTAAGTGTTTGTTAACTGTCGTGATTGCCCCTTCAAATTCGTCTTTAAGTTTTTCTTTCTGACGGGCCAGTGCGCCATTAATAAAGCTTCTACATATCCCGCAATCATTGTGCATGAATTTACTTCTGCCTGCACTGACTGATATCTTCAGGGTTGTTGGTCCCACTCTTCTTCACTATTACTTTCGAATTCGAATCCAGTACCCCCTTATGGGCCTGAAAAACTCATAGGGCAATATATTGCTTGGCCAAATATTTAAATTCGGCTGAAGTTTAGCTCTTGCCATGTATTTCAAAGTAAATAACAGGGTTTTCGGTAACCAAACAAATAAACGATTTTGTTTGCTGGAAGCAGCTGTACTGATATTTGATACTGCTAGCTTTTATTTGTATATCACGTTTACAGTGGCACATTAATTTGGAATTTTAACTGCACTTATTGTTTTTTATATCTATATATATAAAAATGGTCTGTTCGTGTCTACTCCCTTCATAGACTTGAAAAGTTCTGAACCGTTTAAGCCCAAATTTTTACACAACATGCGTTGAGGTTCCAGCTCGGTTATTGTCTACTTTTGATGTTGATAGCTTATCTGCATTTGCGAATATATCAGTTTTTTTCGCGTTTCCCCGTGGCTCTACTGCTGCGCCCTCTACAGGCAGCCAGCTGAATCAAAGCATTTCCTGTCAAACATTCAAAACATATTGAAAGAAGAAATTGGAGATAAACATTTTATTTTTTTGTTCAGGTTCAGTAAGAAACAAAGTCATGCCAACCAAGAAGTCGAGTTTGGGTCGTCGTACTCCCAATACAGAAACAAACAGACGTAAGATTACGAATGTGACTGACGAAGAACGGGCCTCCATCCGAGAGACTGAGCGGCTGAAAGCAATGCAGATGCACAACGAGGAATCAGCAGAAAGACGAGCAGATAGGCTTGAGAGAAAACGATTGAGGGTTAGGCAGTCGCGTTCTGCAGCAATCGATTTGATTCACTTTCAAAATAATGAACGCGACAGGGCAAGGGTAGCTGAAGCGCGTTTACAGCTTTCAGCAGTTCAAAACCTGCAATACAATCGTCTTGCATTCAGATATAATCCAACTGTTGATTACAGCTCGAATCGCAATGTCGTTATTGGCCGGATGCATCAGGTCTGCATATACTGTCAGGCTCCTTCGATTGAATCAGACGAAACTTCGGTCCGAGGAATATATTCATTTGCGGGATGCTGTGATGAATGACCGTAATACATCCAAAGTTGGAAAGCTCACGATTTTGCCATCCTCATACATAGATAGTCCACGCCACATGCAGGAATATGCTCAAGATGTCATGGCATATGTTCGTTGCTACGGCCGTCCAGACTTATTTATCACCTTCACATGCAATCCAGTTTGGTACGAGATAGTGCAGCTGTTATTTCCTGGACAATCGTCTAGGATAGGCATGACATCACAGCCCGTGTTTTCAGACAACAGCTCAAGTCACTGATGGATTTGTGAAACATGGAGTTTTTGGATCTGTGCGGTGCTGGATGTATTCAGTAGAATGACAGAAGAGAGGATTGCCGCATGCGCACATTCTGATTTGGATGTATAATAAAATTACTCCAGACGAAATTGACGATGTGATATGCGCTGAGATTCCACGGGCAGAGGTTGATACAGATTTGCATGCAGTTGTCATCAAGAACATGATCCAAGGCCCATGAGGTACCCTCAACCCAAGTTCACCATGAATGGTAGACGGGAAGTGTTCCAAGCGATATCCTCGAGCCAACTGTCAACTGAAGATGGCGGGACTTCGGCAACTTTAAAAATGAGAATTGGTGATATTAAGGTAGACAATCCTTGGGTGGTTCCATACTCACCCCTATTGTCAAAATCATACAAAGCGCACATCAACGTAGAATATTGCAATTCCGTGAAATCGATTAAATATAACCGCAAGTATGTATATGGCAGTTTTTGGTGTTCAGGCAGAAAATGGTGACAGCAATGCAGAACGAGTTGTCGATGAAATCTCTCAATACCAGGTTGGAAGATACATAAGCAGCAACGAGGCTGCATGGCGAATTTTTTCGTTCCCAATTCATGAACGCTATCCAGCTGTAGTTCAGTTGGCAGTCAATTTGGAGAATGGTCAACGTGTCTATTTCACAGAACTAAATGTGCAAGAAAGAGTCCTGAATCCGCCTACGACAACTCTGACTGCCTTCTTCACCTTATGCCAGGAAGATGCTTTTGCCAGAACCTTGATGTATTCAGAAGAGCCCTCTTAACCACAATATGCCACAGAGAAACGTGGCAGGGTACAGCTAGTTTGTTATATAATGGTGTATGGGGATTTTTATTTTATTTTTCTCTGTGTATGTATAAAAATTTTTATTATATTTGATCAAACCACTTAGATATATCTCTCAGATATTTCTCTAAGTGTGCTTCTCCGTGTTGTTCCCACGCGTTCCGTCCACGTCCACGTTGTTCCGTCGCGGGGTACGGGGTGTGATGGGGCTGGTCTTGTCTTCCCTCTGGAAATGTTCAGAGTAAGCTTTATAATGGGAAAACTCTCTCCGTTGCTATCTACCCTTTAGGCGAGATAACCAATTCAATATAAAGATTATAACAGTGTTAGCTGGA